CTGGGCCACATACTCCGAAACGATAAATACTCTTTGCTACAAGTCATCATGCAAGGTAGAGTAGAGGGAAGAAAAGACTTGGGAAGAAAGAAGAAATCTTGGCTGAGGAATATCAGAGAATGGACTAACCTCAGTGTTGAACAGATATTTCACGTTGCAAAAGATCGAGAAGCGTTTAAAGAAGTGATCGCTAACCTTCGTTAGAAGACGGCACAAGAAGAAGAAGAAGAATATTATAGTTTCAATCAATAATTTGAATTTTTCTTATTATTTTAACAAGTATTTCTATTTTAAATGATATGGAATTGGTCGAAGGATTAGAAAATTATTAGTAATTCTACTCATTCTTCTTCTTTTTCAGTTTATATTTAGGCATGCCTTTATATCACGCTTTCTTGGAGGTCGGACTAAAGATAAATATGAGCAATATGCAAATAATGACTAAACTGGTTCTAAATTGTCATACTGCTGTTGCAGTTGATGGTAATGATAATGAGCAGACTGCGTCGCATAAATATTTAGGGCATGAAATTCGGTTGGGGATAGATAACCAGTCATGTGAGCTCCGCATATGGTTAACCTGGATAGCGTTTGGTATATTAAACTATATGTGTAAATCGGACCTACCCATGTGCGTTAAAAAGAAAATCTTTGATCATTGTGTTGATATGGAAAGAAAACATAAAAAGATAGTAAACAAGATTTGCTTGACTCAGAGGGCTGTGGAGCGCCAGAGTTTCTCCCTGAGAGACCGAATCTCAAAGAAAGAACAAAAACCACAGACGCTACAAGAATCACGTCGCTAAAATGAAATTGCAGTAACTAAATGCAAGGCGTACAAGATAGAGACAGGAAAACAACATGAGAGAAGAAAAACCTATTGATATAAATTGTTTGTCAAACTTTTAGTGATGTTATATTTTTAAAGTTTTTATTTTGTAAACATTTCAATGTTTGTTATTACTTTAAAATATTCATTAAATTAAATTTGTAAATATAAGTCTGCAATAAATAAAAAAAACTTTTAGAAATATAACATCACTAAAATTTTGCCAAAAAATTCATATCAATAGATATCTTTTCTCTCTAGTTGTTTTACTAACGTTCTCCTTAAGAACAATTCTACATTTGTTGATTTGCAGTAAAGCCGATGACCCATACCCAACAGCCTACCATAACTGAGCTTTAAGTATGCTTCTACGTATATATAATTACATTCCTTGTATCGGCAGGTAAGTAAAATTTATATACGCTTTAAAAATGTGCACTTTTAAAACTATGCACACATAATATTAGCATATTTTATGATTTACAGACAGTATCCTTATAGTAGAAATTTGTATTTTAGCATTTATTAATTTTTCAATGAACAGCAATTTTTAGTGTACGAAACCGGTAACGATAAATGTAATAAATTGATTGTGAGTAAGTTTTATATTTATTTCTTTAATCTTTAAGCAGAAGAACAACAAGGTTTTAGGTCGGGACGATCATGCATTACGCTATATTAAATATCTAGGCATCACATTATCTAGCTACGAAAAGCTCGAAACTGAAGTGGAAGATCAAGTGAATAGAGAAAACAGAGCCGCAGGTTGCCTGCATGAAATAATATGGAGAAATAACAATATCGGGAAAGAAATGAAAGGCAGAATTTACAAAACAGTCATCAGACCAATAATGACATACGCGGCAGAAACACGATCTGACATAGAGAGGACAAAAAGGATGTTAGAAACAGCAGAGATGAAAACACTAAGACAAATGTCTCTAATGAGGTATGACTCATATGATGGTAAGACTCTATGGGACAGAGCTAGAAGTACAGATATACAACTTTGTAAGAAATATAGGAGTAGAATAGAACGATCATATAAGGCGAATGACAACAAATAGAGTAGTAAAGATGACAAGAGATGGTGCCCCAATAGGAAGAAGATCAGTAGGAAGACCACGAAAACGATGGAACGACAACTTACTGGAGATACCTTGAAAAACAGAGAGCCATGTCTACATAAAAAAAGAAGAAGAAGAAGAACCTTGTTAAAATGGACTGACATATGCAATCAATTCATCATCCATCTATTTTTTTCATGGGCTAGCCATATGTACACCATTTTGCGTTTATCACTTTTTCTATTACATCCACAATTTTTGTTCCATTTCTAATCTCTTCGTTTCTGATTATGTCTCACAGTCTAATCACGTGAATCTCCTTCTTAAAGTGCTATATCTGTTTCGAACGTTGGCTACCATCAAAGGATTATTTACTGCACTGCGATGTTGAGATTGCTCGAAACCACATGTGCAGGTTTGGAATCCACAAAATTATTTTTTTCTTGTACCTTTCTTGACCTCAATCTGTCCCTGTAGTAACCCATATTTTTTTATTTTGCGTGCGCAAAATCTTGTAGTTTTCGACATTTTACTGTTATAAGCAGATCAGATTGACAATTCATTCTTCTGAGTATTTCTCCGTTGGTAACTCTTACAGTCCATACAATTTTGAGAATTCGTCGGAAACTAGGCGTCTTTTCATTAAAATTAGGCGTTCAAATTCTTCATTTTTACAAATACGGCTCTAGCTCTTTCGATTTTGCATTTTATTTCCTGAGGGTGATCCCATCCTTCTTTCAATGTAGGAGAGAGTACTGTACGTCGGGACAGCATATACTTTAGGACACACATAAACTACCACCTATTGGTAATAACAAAGAATATAGCAATGAAGACAGCACGCAACCATGACCCATTACTGCTGGATTTATATTGAACGGGTATACTCTTATAGCATTTTTCATATAAAAAAGCTTGCACGTCATTCAACATTTACGTCGTCAGAATCCCACAGCGTTGCCAAAACATCAGAATAGTTAGTAAGTGAGGAATTTTTAAAATGTCAACTATTTGTCAAACTATTATATTAACAGTAAATACACTTAGTTTTAAGACTACTGCAACACATTAAAATACATAAGAAAACATTTTAATACAAAATTATATATTCTAAATTTTAAACTTACTCTTTTAGGGCTTAAATAGTAAAAACGTCCCGCCATTATTTCTTGTTCAAAATAATCTATCTTATATGAAAGCTTATCATGCTTTCTACAGACTATTTATTTGTTTTGGCATATCACAATCACAATACACAACAATAATTAGTTTTTAAAGCTATTAATCTAAATTTAATATGTATTTATAAATACAATTTATTAATATATATTATTTTATGATCAAATTGTGTAAGAAATCAAAACATAAACAAAATTTCTACCCTGAAAAAGCGGCAACACTTTATACACTTTTGCCACACGCTGAACTGTCAATAAAATTTGAAGTATTTCCATACCAGTTGCGTACAATTGTCTAATATATTTAATTAAAATTATTATTTTGTGGAATATTAGACTTAAAGAGTTATTTAATAAAATTTATATTATTAATAATAACAAATGTTTTTGGTTATTTAATCAATATAATTCTAAAATTTCCAATATAATGATGATTACATTTTTTGATTATTACACAATGTCTATGCCTCTGAAAGATCGAGCAGTTCCGTATGGGTTTCGTATTATTAGCTGTGTTAGAAAAATTTGAACTCTAAGGTTGATGTTCTGGAAATTTTAAATACAAGTGACGTCACTTTGTATAAATCGTGACGTGCAGTGTTTTACTTTGAAAAATGGTATATATCCTTGTCATTCATTACTACGCTTCTTAGGGTACCAACCATCTTTTCATGATTGCACATATTGAATGCTTTTGCGTAGTCCATATAACAAATATATACGTCACAATTAAGGTCTTTACATCTCTGAATCTATAACGCGCTATAAGGAGTATTCACTTCTGTCTTCGCAGAAGTCACGCAGACAGCGTGACAAACGAATTGAGGGTCAGATACAATAACGAGCTAGAGTCTATTCGGAAAAGAAAATCTAGTCAGATATATAAATTCCAATAGACTCAGATATATAGGACATGTGATACGCAGTAACGACAATCGCCTTATAAACAATGTATTCTGGGAAAGGCCAGATGGAAGAAGGTCTGTATGGCGGTCTAGCAAAAGGTGGAAAGATGCAGTCAGAGAAGATCTAGAGAAGATGGGAGTGCGACAATGGGAATTACTGGCACAGGACCGACAAACATGGAAGGCAATAGTAAACGCGGCAAAGACTCACGAAGAGTTGTAGCGCCATTGATGATGATGACTTCTGTCTTCACTCTTAAAGTGCCATGCTCGTTTTTTTTTGTTAAGTTAATGAATGACTGTATTGATTGGATCTCCCGTCGCCTGCGACGGGTAAAATCACTAGTTTTATAAAAAAAATCAATTATCGCTATTTTATTTCAGTACGACTTTGCTCCAAAATAAATTGTTTTAAAGTTATAAGCAAGGAAAGTAGAAAAAAGTTGATCTTTGTCATTTTTAAATATTTTAATTTTTTTAAATAATATCATTTTAAATATTTATTAATATCGTTGACATATTTGAGAGGGAAGATGTCAATTATTATTACTGAAGATATCACACTATTTTTTCTGTAAAAATCAGAATGCCACCTCTCACATCCACCTCAAAACAGATTCGCCCTGTTATATAAGATATTTGTACAATGTAGTATTATTAAATCATATATATTCTGTGGACAAAAATCAAGACTTGTTTTATGTATGTATTTAAAATTTGTTTCCTTTTGTAATTCTGACTGATTCTGACTCTGACTGACTATTTATTGTTCTTGACATTAGTTCCTTTTTATTTTCATTCCCAAATAGCCTTATTCCGTATTGAGATTAATAGATATCGAGAACATTATTTTGTATACGAATTACTTGATATTATGACCTTTGTATATATGTTATTATTTTTAATATACACTTCATAGAGGTCTTTTCGCTGGCGAAAATAAGCACTACCTTTTAAATTAAATCTCTCTTAAATCCTTGAGGGCAAATATATAATATACAAGATGAAATAGCCGTAAGCCACATAACTAACTAGAGAGTGGTAGTAAGTAACATCTCCAAAGATTCTTCGGGTGTCGAGAGGGAGTAGTGTAAAAGACGCCAATGGTACCCGCCAGCCTTCTAGTACCATCTTTGACGATGTTCGGTATAGTGAACGCGAGGATGAAAAATCCAAAGAACTTATCGTGGTGCCTATTGTTTTTGTGCACGCTTTTCAAATATTCTCAAGCGCAGATAGTCGGAACACACACGGTAAGTACCGGGTAGTATTACCACGGGAGAAAGTTGAGGATTTGTATTGTGAGACTTCCACGGAAAGTGATGAAAGGCGAGAAATAATATATACAGGGTGGTTGCAATATAATTTGAAATAAAAATAATGAATAGTGGAATTTGTCTATTGTTTAGGAAATTAAAAAAAAGGAAAAAAGTTTAAGGACTATTTTACTTAATACTAAATTCTTTGAAATTTAAAATTTTTAAAATTTATTTAAGTCTTTAAAATGTATTAAATAAATATATCTTTATTATATATTTAATAATTAATAATTAATAATTCGATACAGGTTGGAACAAATTTTATATCAAAGTTTAAGTGAAAACAAAATATATTTTCAAAAAAGTATATGATTTATATATCTACCGTGATTATTGTTTAAATACTAAAAAATTGGTTATTTTCACACACAATTTACTTTTTTAATTACTACGGTAATTCAAGTTTTTATGTAGGCGTTTACGATTTTTTTCTGCAAAGTTGAAGGGAAACGTTTTTATTTAAGAACTTGTTAAATTAAATTTGACCCTTAATTTATTTAAATAATTATAAATAAAGCTTGAAAAACAAATTTGCAAAAAGTTATTCTTTGAATCATAAATAATTACTATAAATATTTTATTTTGCAGTAAAAGTGTTATGTTACCTACCAATATAAAGTAAAAAAATTGTTGAAAAATATTCAAATAGTTTATGAGATACTGAATTTATTTAATAAATGTTACTATTTTTTAATTACAAAAATTATTAAAATTACAAAAACTCAGATGTTGCCGATAGAGTATACACTTTAATAACGTCTTTTTTTGTTTTTATGTATATTTTCGACAAATGCATTGAGAAATCAAAATTTCCAATGACGTTTGAAAATTATTAAAATTTGTTTGTAACTTATATATATTAAGGGATCTAACTTATAAATACAATACATTTTGGAGACTGCTATCGCCGTATTTCCTTTCTCCTCCGCCAATCCTCCCGGTCCAAGGCATGCTCCTCCTCCAAACTTCTCGATTACATCGCTCTTCTAATTCCGTCACTTTTTTATAACGTCATGAGATAATTACTCACACATTCTAAAAAGTTTTTCTAAGACCGTTTTTTGCCGTGATTATGAACTTTAAAATTCATAATTTGTTTATTTATCAATATTAACATTTAAGCTGCGTGACCACCCTACTACTTATGCCACTACAATGCAATTCCATTTATAGGTCTTTTAGTATTTTGCGTGTATATATATATATATATATATATATATATATATATATATATATCGAAAAGATGTACGACCGTCAATCCAATATATTATAAGAACCACTCGTTGAGTGATCCTTAATATATATATATATATATATATATATATATATATATATATATATATATATATATATATATATATATATATATATATATATATAGATAACCTGAAGGAAAAATTCTGTAAAACAGCCACAAACCAGCTATGAAGTATGAAAACAAATGCTGTTCGAGGCAGTTAAAAGGAAGGGATAACGAATGCTTGTTGGCGGAAATGAGAATGCTTAGATGGATGAGTGGAGTGGGGTGACATAAAAGGATAAAATTAGGAATGAGTATATTAGGAGAAATCTAGTTTTATATATATATATATATATATATATATATATATTATATATATACATTACATTTAAAAAAATTAAAAATTCATAGTACCTACAACTCTCTTGTATGTTTTGTTGACAATATAAAAGGGATTTGTGTTCGTACAATCAAATCAAGTTGGTTTAAAATATTCTAAAAACGTTATTTGTTGTACTGTTGCTTCACATTTTGTAATGACTGAATTTCTTAATCGGCGTAAGATCATGCAATCTGCTTTATTTTGGCTTCTTCTTGTCGAGAATACACTCGATGAATTGTTGCATGCGCGATGTAGCTTCTCTAGCTTCTTTACACAAATCTTTGACGTTGCAATATTATCATCGACATTCCCACTGTCAAACTCCAAGTCTGTGCCAGTTTCTGAATCTGTTTCGTCCGTCTTTGTTGCCATTTCAACGATTTCATCATCTGTCAGCAATTGATAGCCGTTTGCGTCCTCATCACAAATTAACCATTCGTTTATGTAATCTTTAGGCAACGAAAACAAAACAGTTGATTCAGCTATAACTTCATTTGTTACCGCATCACGCTCGGCTATCATGGGGGCATTTTTAGCTTCGGTTGATTCAGGTCATAATTTATTCCACGCTCTTTGCAGCGTTACTTCCGAAACATCAGCCGAAACATCCTCAGCATTATCGACTGCGTGTTTTAAATGGCATGCTTTCCAGTATTCTGGTAAAGAATATTCCTCTTCTATAACGAGGTTTTGAATAATTTTTTTTGTATCGTCTTTTGAGAGTTTCAATAATTAATTGATCCATTGGTGTATTCGCAGGCAGAAAAGTGCACGTAATATTTCCATCGTCACTTCACAGTATACCGGCTTCA